TTTAAGCGTGATTGAACTTCAAACACACAAACAAACAAACACACAAACTTTCACATTTATAATATTAGTAAAAAATTTGTAGTTAAAATCAGGTGAGGTTATTTGTCTGGATTACAGGCCGTTTCACCGTGCTTGGCGTGTAGGGGAGGCACTGCGAGAGAGACAGAAAAATACAAAAAAACTTAAACATAAAGCAAACTAATTTGACAGCTGATACTAGTTCACAACTTCAGTATTTGAACGTGAATTTACCGTACATCGAGGCGTAGTGGGGGAAAGCTCTCAGTGCGTATGCTCCAGCGAGGCGCCACGCACCGTGACACTATCTGTACTGTATTCTGTTTTTTATATTTCAGCTTAACTTAACCAATGAATAGTTTTAATAATACTTACGAAGTCAAACGGGGTGAAGCCCGTGGGTAACAAATAGTTTAAGTAATGTTAAAATTATGTTTACATTTGGGCAAGTGACATAATTATTTTATATTTATGATTCATACCCTTTTCATCTAATATTTTTGCAGTATTAAATATGTTTAAACCAGCTGTGTGGAAATGTGAAATTAAATTTCATTCGTCTGCTTGTTTACATTTAAAATTTGTTGGTTTGTTCTTTGTTACCATGGATCAACATAAATCAATATTTAGGCTACTTTTTAAAACTCTTACCTCAGAACTTTGAAAGCTCGTGGGGCAGAGTCCTAGGTAAATATCAAAGCGGAAATAGTTCTATGTATCCTCGGAGATAAGATTCTTGTCCAATTTGAACACAGTTGGTTCAGTAGTTTTTAAGTATCTCATATAAACAAACACACAGATACAGACATACAGACACAGACACAAAGACAGACAGACACCACACCTTCTTTATAATATTATGGATTACAACAGTATATTAAAATAAAGATTTCAGAAACCTTTTTTTATAGTTACGTATTCAAAATTCAACGTATTCATTTCAAGCAAAACGGTGGCATACGCATACATCAAAATTCTATAATATGTTTAGTGTATTACAATTCCAAGCAACATACAAATTTATCTATCTATCTATATATTAATTACGTAAGCCGATTCTTTGCGTCAAAATCGTGGGCGACTGGAAAGCCGTAGGATGACGGGAGATAGTCGTAGGATGTTTACTTATAGGACACCCTGTTTAAGATAAGTGTAACGGTTAAATTTTGTTTCTAAATTAAAACGTTGATCTAAAACCATTTTTACGGCGTTTTCAAAGAACAAAACCTGATTGCTCCGCACCCTGACCCCGTTTCAAATCACGGGTGTAACGGTAAGTTTTCAAGTTTATGACGATTAGATTAAGGTATCTATTATAACAGGTTACGTTAAGGTATCTGCAATCATAAAATGCTATGGGAAGGGAGAAATAGGTCCAAGTTAGGAAGTGGTGAAAGAAGTAGTAAAGGAAAGCAGCGTGGAGAGTTGGAACTGGAAACCGTTTGTAGCAGTTAGATTAATGTATCTTCCATCCTAAAATGCTTTGAGAAGGGAAGGAAACAGGTCCATGACGTAGGAAATTGTGAAAGAAGTAGTAAGGCCAGCAGTGCAAAGTGTGGGAACTGTCTTTGGCAATTATGTATCTGCAATTCTAAAATGGTATAGGGAAGGAGGGCAAACAGATCCACGACGTAGCGAATGGTGAAGGAAGTAATAAAGGCGAGCAGTGTGGAGTTTGGGAATGGATTAATCTATCTGCAATTACTAAATTGCTTTCAGAGTAAACTAATGATTTTCCCCGTGCAAAGCTCGGTCCCCAGGTACTATTATATAATCCTTAATACAACCTTGATTCTTTTTGTGCCCCTAACACAACTAGTAATAATAGCCCAGAAAACCTCAGTCATAAAGTCATCAAACAAACTAGTAAGAATGTTAAAAGATATTAGAATCACAAGATTTTTAACTCATTAACTGCACCTTTCCCAAAGGAAATTTGTTTAATACCAAGAGTAAATCCGAATCTCAAATTATTTAGGTATATTTTTAAGAGTATACATTTGCATAAGTTCAAAACAACTGCATTTTCTTTACATACACAAAAATCCATCTTTTATGGGACGAGTTATAGGCAAGAATCTACATTATGTGGACAAGCTATACAGGAAGTGATATATAGTACAGGGGCCAGGTTTAGGAGCGATAGACGCTCGGCAATAAATCACGAGGAAGCAAACCGTCGCCGGATCTTTATTCGGCTAGACCACTAAACTAATGAACAATGACGCGACGAAGGACAGGAATACATACGGTTGTATAATGGCATCTCTAGACAAGCACTACATTGACTATTAGTTTATTAATAAACTGTCATTTACTGTCAACGGTCACATAAGACTAAAAGTCAAACAGTGTAAATACACGGATTTACAATGGCAAAAGTTAATTTATAAAAATATTCTTCTTACAAGTTTAGTAAATATTAAGACACATGATTACACAGAAATTTATATGTACGCAGATACCTCCTTGAATAAGTGTATAAATTACAAATTCTAACAATAACTATATTTACTTTCCCACAATGTAAGCAAACGGGGAAATTTGGTTTTCAAACGTTGGTATCACTGCATCCGAAACACGAGGCCTGTATAAGTACTTCCGAGAAATACGCGTACTTTCCCGATAAAGCCCTCCCCCTTCTACCACTACTAAAGATAAGCACCGCCCAGACTCGTCCAACTTGCCATACGTACTAAGGCCTTATCTGCCTGTTCGTACTGTCCGCGAGAGTAAAGAAGTCCCTTGAGCCAGAGCGATACGCAGCTATGTTTGGAGGGTATAGCACACTATTTGCAGGCGCTAGGCATCTTAGTGCCTCGTCTCGATGTCTGTCTGTAAACAACTGTTGTAAACATAATTACTCATATCTTTGTTTTGGTAAGTGGATTATCATCATATGGTCATTTGATTCAGTGCAGTCTCGTATGATTGCGTATTGGAGTTCTGTTTTGTTTTGGACAGTCCTTGCAGCTATGGATTTATCAAAATGTGGTGCTACTATATATATAGTGGAGAGAGGGATTTAATTTGACGGGTGATCGAGTGTTGTGAAAATGAATGTAAAGACAAAAAGTGATCAGTGCCGATAGAAAAGGCAACAGAACGTGCCTCAAACTAGTGTAAAATGTCATAAAAAACTATTAAACGAATTAGAAAAACCTGCAAACAAACTCCGGATGTAAAACTCTGTACACTCGGGAAAAAATGCAATGATAGACCCACTTTCACTCGTGTTTTGAACGTTACTTTTCAGAAAAATTAAACAGTTGATAAAGCAATGCCCAATATTTGTTTGTTTACGTCGGCAAAATCTAAAACATATTGTTAACATTCTTTTGCCGTAGTAAATAATGTAATGATGGATTTTTGCAGGTGATAAACATGAAACGAAAACAGGTTATTTCACAGTAGTGTAGCGAAAAAAGCTATTATCTGTTTTGAGAGAAAGGATTAATTTTAAATGGATCGAATGGGCCCTTCGGCGTCTTTTCAAAGATATGGGGTTACAGTGGAAGAAATGCGATTCCAAAAGAAAATGTTTGATTGAAAGGCCTGACATTATTAATTGGAGGTTTAAGTATTTGCGAGAGATGAGGAAGCTAAGGGAACAGAATAAGAAAATTTTCTATCTGGACGAAACTTGGATGGGCAATAATTTAACGTTCCAGAAATGTTGGTATAGTGTAGACGTCGATGGTGTGTTACCTGATATGAACGCGCCATACCGCGTGAAGAGTGAAGACGGCTCTAATTGTCCCGCGAAACGTTGAAGCGTAACGCCTTCAAACTGTGAATAGGCCGGAGCTCAGGGGACTTCTTTTCTCTCGCGGACAGTATACAACCCTTGAACTCGTCAAGTTTTCTTATGTAAGCCCCTTTAATTTTGATCCCTTGTAAGTGATTTTATTTAGTTTTAGTATTATTTTATTTTATTAGCATATTTTTGGTACTGTATTACTTTTAATATCACCTAATTAGATTTTGAATACAACTAGCACAAAATGCTGTTTTTCTTTATTTTAAGCAATATTTGCAGCCGGAGGGAAGATGTTAAAATATGTTACTGTTTAAATATCAATTGCTTAGTGTCTTGTAATTTCGACTAATACATATTAAAAATAGCAAATTTAAAAACTATAAAAGTTGCCAGAAAAATATTCATTTTTCATTTTCCCCCCAAAATTTAGAGCTTATGCGTGACCGGAAATAACAACCAATATTTTATCCTGTCTTGCTCTTGCAATTTAGCAACTTCTCCAAGGTATTACAACTCAAAAAAATATAGATTTTTTCTATCCACCCTATTTCAGATCCTTTTTATAAAATAAATGAGTTTTACAATAGTGATATTTCAAATGTGATGTTTAAGCCAGTGCAAAGACAACTTGTTTTAGTTTTTTTAATGCCAACACTCTAATCATGTTTTTGTGTAACTTAACTGGTTTCAGAATTGTAACCATACTGATTTAGTCATAACAGTCATGGTTTTTATCTACTCGTTCCATTTTTTAATTGTGCTTTACTTACATTTTTCATCTAGTCATTCGATACGTACCTGCCATTAGCTGATTTTAAACAAGACCAGCTTTAATTAACTTATTTCATTAAAATTATCTTAATAATTTATTTTCTTTGTTATAATTAATTACTTTGTAATACTATTTAACAATTCTCAAAATGAAGAACCCTATTGCATTGTAATATGTTTAAAGGACAATATAAGATTCTTATTCTTATTCATCTCACATGTATCTTCACCTGTGATTGTGGCAAATAATTAGTTTTTCTAAATATCTGTTTTTGTAAAAACCCTGTGTCTCCCATTTGCTTGCGACCTAGTGGTAAATCTGGCACTGTGACTAAACCAGGAAACTCATGAAGATTATGATGTTAGTGTTGCCCGTTTTTGCAAATTAGATTTGACAACAGTATGTTTGGCACTTCATACAGAATAGGAATTAATAAATAAAGAATAATACCTGTAAGTTGTCGATAGTCCACAAAAGCAATATCTCCAAATCCGCTGGTCAGACAGCGTAGTGCTCCCAAGTCACCGTAAAACACACTGTTCTGAGTTGTAGAGCAGGAATCTACCAAGTAAAAGTATTAATTTTTAATTGATTTCAAACTACCATACAATTAACTGTTGTTTGACATATCAAATCGCATAAAATCAAAATCTCCTTTATTCATAAATGTGCATATTCATAAATGCGCCGGCATATAGAACAATATTTATAGGGATATTAACACTTAAAAATCTTTAACTACCACCAATAACAACAGAGCCCATGTGTGATGTAAGATTAAAAATAGTTTATATGGTATATACACTCTACAAAATGTCGATTTGATTTTAACCACAATAAATTTAACGTTTTACAAAAGTCTTCAAAAGGAAAACTTTTTGTAATTTTTGGTAACCAACCCATTTAATTATGAATCTAGTTTTTGCAAACCTGTCGATGTAAAAATTTCTAAACAGATCTAAATTTTACAATTTTGCCTTATTTTAAGGCAATTTCAAATAAAATTTTCTTGATATAACCGTTTTGAAACTATGAGCTGAAAAAGTCTCATATTTTCATCATAAAAAATATACATGGAAATTATAATTAACCTTATGTTAAAGCATTTGAACTGAAGTTAATAAATAATAAAACATATCTCAAAAAATTTTTTTTCAAAATGTTTACTTTTTTAACAAAAGTTGTTACAGTAGACTCCCTCTTATACGGACTCCTCGGGACCGAGGCCAGTCCGGATAACGGGTTTTCCGGTTAAACCGACGTCCCCAAAAACTTGTTAAAACGGACTGTTTACTGTGATATTCGACTTAAATTTAGGAGAGCATTGTATTTAGACACGTGATCACTGGTCTCAAATCTTTCCCACGAGAACAATTGTTTCAGTACTGCCCACTTCCCAGGGCTACAGATATACATGTATATCTGTAGCCCTGGCCCTTTTCCTGCCGATCTAGTCCGGTTAAACCAATTTGCTGATTAAAATTGTCCGGTTAAAGAGATGTCATTTCCACCAAGTGTAGTCCGGTTAAACCAATGTCTGGTTATAAGGTGTCCGGATAAGAGGGAGTCTACTGTATTTTAGAGCTGCACATATTAAAAATGTTATTTTTAATTTTTTTACCAGGTATTTCATTCAAACTAATAATTTTTATTAAATCTAGTGCTAAGTATTACATACCCGAACCATTAGGTTGTGAGGAGCAGAGGCTGCACAGCTTAGCAGGGACTACGCCTGAGCCTCGGGTATGGTCAGTGTCCTTGGCCCCAGGCGCACACGCCCCACCCAAGTAGCTGGCCATGGCCTGGCCATACGGGCATATCTTGGCCAACTGATGCTGCTCTAGCAGAGTGGCCACTGTGGCCGACCACGCTGTAATATACATTTGGGTTAGTAATTAAAGGCTTTTTTAAGTGAAAATCCCCAAAATTACAATAGTTTTTTGTTTACAGTATGATTGTTAGGAGGTGGTAGAGCATATGTGAACTATAGTAAAATGAAGCAAACCAGTTAACCGCCCTTTTCCCCTGAGTCTATGTGCGCACTTGGAGCTGCTCAGTAACCAGGCTTAGTCAGTGAGTCATACTTCTAGCTCTACTATCTCTGTAAAATCTGTTTTAATTAAAGAAAATAAATAAATTTAATGGTATTGGCTAAATGGATGTATTTTCATCTCCTGTTCATTTTTATACAAAATTTGAGGTAAATCGATGAATTTTCATGGATTTATGAAACTAGATATTACTATGATAGAAATAAAAAATAACATGTAAAATTCACTGATTCGCTCAAATTTGGATTAAAATAAATTCATTTACACTTTCAGATTTGTAATTCGTGCTTTGTATTTGTAAAAAGATTGCACAGAGATAGTAGAGCCATAAGTATGACTGACTGACCAGGCCACCGTCTGCCTGAGCAGCTCCAAGCAAAGGCACAATTAACTCAAGAGATAAGACTATCAAGGCTGTTTGGGCGCGAGGAAACACTCGAGTTGAGCCTAGTAGTTCCTCAAGTCGCCACACATGCCGCCACTGTTGCTGCTAGCGTGGTGATTCAGAGAGCCGAGACGTAAAAGGGATGGGTGAGCGTGGGGAGAGGGGGGCGACAATTCTCTCCTCTGTGTCTCTCTCTCGGGCTGACTTTGCTACCGCTACAAACTCAAACTTGCAACCACTGTTTCCCATGCCAAGCCCTCTTGTACTACCGTACTGTGGACAACTCATCTCACCTCTAAGCTAAGAATCTAAAAACTAATCTACTAACTAATCTAACTAACTAACTAATTTAAGAATCTAATCTAGACTTAAACTTAGTGGTTATTTAATATTCTCATATGCCTAGATATCTGCCTATAAAACAAACCTAATTTCCAGATGTAAAGCAAGAAACCTCAAGACATCTAATATTTTTTGCGGTGTAAATCAACTTCAAGTAACTTATAACTTAACTAAGTAAAAAAATAATTTCTCTGATAATCTGAAGTGTAAAGCACATAGCCTAGTCTAAATTGAATAAAACCAATTTTTATCTTCTGAGAATTCTTATTATTTATTAACATGAAATAAGCCCCACCGAACCACACGGATAACCTGAGATTAAGAGGAGTGCTCTACTAGCCTATAAGTTAATTAAACATGTAACTGGTGTGACCGACTATTGTGTTTAGGCCTAAGAGTAGTCAATTAATTTAAAGATTAAAAAAGCACACTGTTACAGATTTAGGATTCTATACTTGAATCCAGATCATAACATGATGGGTTTGATACTTTAATACTTTTAATACTTTTCAATGAAATGGTGACCATACAAAGTAGGTATTTTAAGCCAAGTGTGAATGGAGATGAGTGTAGGATGAGTGGCGCGATCTTGTAGTCTTGTTAGTTAGTTAGTAGTACAATTGACTAAATGGACAAATTAATTTGACTAAATGTGACATTTATTTGTCTGACAAGACTACATGTACAATGAAATAAAGTTCTGTAATTCAATTGTTAATATTTTATTTCCAAGAATGACTTAGACTAAGTAAATTAATAAAGTTATAATCTTACCTAATCCACCAAATTCTGGAAAACAAGCTTTTTTCTGTCTGATATTGCTCCAACTTTTTATCATCTTATTTGAACTTGACACAATAGCTAAAATCTGATATTGCCCATTGACTCCACTGTCTAAGTAGACGACAGGTGACATGTTGTATGATCTGAAAAGAAAAAGAAAAAATGTATTGTTCTTCAAATATTTTAGATACTGTAAATTATATTGGTATTCTACTTTTAAACATAATCTATTCACACAAAAATGAGAAACTTGTATTTTCTTAAGTTATTTAAAAAGAAATATTTTTCTAAAAAATGTTTGGGGAAGCTAAATGTTTTTAAGAAGCTGATAACATATTATATGAACGTTTTCTTTATTTAAGAACAGAAACCCTGAAGTATGTTGTTTGAAGTTGTTGGTTTACTCAGCGAAAAGGAGGACTATATCGGGTAGTGTAATTTGAGTACAACAACTAGTAGTACAATAACTATGTAGTACCATAATAACTTAATATTGTTCACTGTTAAGATTGATAACTAAAATACAATGCAGTAATAATTTGTATACTCCTTAAGCAGAAATAGGTTCTAATTGTTTATCAAAAGTTATGGATCTGATCCGTGGGTCCATGATATTTTCGGGTCAGGTCAGCCAACAGTTGGCCCGAGGGATCAGTTGGGCCAGAAATAATTGTTGGGTCAAACTGGTCAGGTTGAGCTGAGCTGAGCTTTTATTTTTGCAAACGCAGAGAGCATATACAAAGTTACACAATTGAAAATTGAAGATTTCACCGAAAATCCTGTGTGATGTTCACGATTTTGCTGCAATCATGGGAGAAGATGAAGTCGCCGTGACCGTGGAAGAAATTCATGGTTTCACCGTGACTGCGGGAGGCCGAGGCGTCCACAATTTTTCCAAGACCAAGTCGTTTCCAATTCATAACGGAGGGCATTCTTGATTTTGCTGTGACCGTGGAAGATGTTCACAATTTAGCCGAGACAGTGGAAGATGTTTATTATTTTACTGCAATATGGGGGAGATCATGTACAATATTATGCATTAATCCTTTTTTTAATCAACATTTTCCAAATCAATCCGATTTTGATTTTACTATGAGACCAGAGGGCCAAGCTTTTGACCTCACCCAATCCCACCAGAAGTAAAAAAGCCTAGCCCGTAGATCCCTAAGCACCTATTTTAACAATACTCTTAAGACAGTTACTTCAACGTTGTAATTTTACTAAAACTTCTTAAACTACTAAGTACTTACAGATACATAAAATTAAAATATGACCTGTTACCAGTCAGTTATGAATCTGCACAACACCAACAATCTTAACTGACGTCATACACAACTAGGAATTGTTGTAACCAATAACCGCGCCTAAAAATGTAAAGCCTTAAGGAATTTTGTCAATGAATATCTGTGGTGAATGTCAATAAATTTAGTATGTTGATGTAATTGACCTTCTGGTAATATATCCGTATTCTGTATCTACAGTGACAACGTTGGCAATGCCATCTCGGATGTTTGCCCAACATTCCCACTCGTTGGATGCTGTCACACAGTCCAGTGATGGTTGTATCCCGTGTGTCTGCACTGCTGCCCTCAGCCACTCACACTTGCGGGTCTCTATACCACTGATTGTACACCACTTGACACTGCCTCTACAAGCCTGGCGTGTCTCCCCACCTACTGTAACACAGTTACTGTAGTCACACAACTGTTGATGAGGGGGTTTTCTTTTATATAATTCACAGGCATCTAAAGTGGTTAACAACTAACCCCAAATAGAATTTATACAATAAACACTTAATTAGCTGACATCCTTTGAATCCTCAACCTCTAATATATTAGCCAATGACTTCACTTTTATGAACATAGAGGCACTACTGCTATGGTGTATTTTGCGCCATTCTATGTAATCTATTGTGGAAAGTAAGTACACTCGCCAAAATATTTTGACAGCTTTAAAACCTAGAGGTGTGCAGATAGTGAAATTTCACTTCTGATCGAATTATGATCGGGTGATTAATTCTAAGCTCGGTTAGGATCAGATCAGATATTGAGAGGATCGGATTCAAATGGTTAGCCTTTCAAGTACTTGATAAATTGGTATATAAAAATAACTTTGAAATATAAAACAAACCCATAAAACACTGCATTATTGTACATTTGCATTTTTAGATCAACAAAATACAATATTGCATTATCATGACATTTTATTTTAGGTCAGTAACCTTTATTAGATAAGTGGTGCTGTTTCAGGAGAGATGCATGTTGATAATAATAGATTGATGTTCCCGTGGATGAAAACAAATAACTATTTAACTTGAATTTAAATTAATTTAGCCGAAGGTTGTAAAGGCATAGACTTAAAAGTGACAAAGCCAGCTTATATTGGACTAGGGTAATTTTTAAATTGTAAATTTCAGACCTTGCCTGACAAAGTTGGAGAGTAAAGAAGTAACACTGTTGATGTTGTGGTCTGTCTCAATGATGAGAGCAGAGAGAGCCTGCTGCCAGGGATCTCGAGCCTCAACACTGGGGCTGAGCCAGGACAACAAGAGAGGCTGCAACAGCATTGCTATGTCTCTGGAACATTACAGTGCAGTTAGCTGGGTAGCTTACTGGTTATATAGTGCTCGCTGTACCGATTTACAATTTAAATACGTCTAAAACCATCAAAACCTCCAGTTTCCTGCAAACGATGAGTAAATTCAAATCAGCCAATCACAGTCTTGACCGTTAAATATCTGAGCGGAAGGGACGGCGACCACGCTAGGAGAAGGAAAAGTCACCAGTCGGTGGCCAAGATTGATTAGATGACCACGTACTAGTAAAATCAGCAAATTATCAAAAGTTGTTACATTGTGGCCGCAGTAAGAAAATTAGAATCTTAGCTTTTGCAGGCCTGTATTTCTTTAAGAAGATACAATTGTCGCAAAAACAAGTTCTAAACAATAAATTGTATTATTTGAAATTCAACTTGTCTCATTTTAAAACCGCAGAACCCGACCAAGGGGACACTAAAACCTGATTTTGCTTGATCTGTTCGAAAATTAGATTTGTCGGCGAAAATTAAAGTATAGCCGTGTAAATTTTCCACCCCTAAAGTATTAACAATAATATAAGTACTTTGTAGTGTTAGCTTTAAGGGTCGACCCAAACGTAAGTAATTTTATTTATATTAGTTAGTTCAGCCAGTGCCATCCTCTATATTCATACATGTAATACATTATTGTTAAGACATTTTGTTTGATTTAATAAATAGTTCTGGGAGACCGAGCCTTGCTCGGTTGTGGTTAATTTGGTTTAATCATTAAAACAATACACAAATTTTATAATTATACAAAAAACATGTTTATTACAACCCAGAAACCATAGACATTTGATTGCTGAAATAATAAAAACTCTGTAATGTAAAATCATGCAAGCAAACAAATACATACACTTTTATGATCTTGCATAAGTCGATCATATCCATTTCTGCTCCTGTAATTTTGTGATCTACAACTCCCTAAGTCCAGTGGACTTTTAGTTACCAAATGAAATTAGTTTATTTAGCTACATTCAACGTCCTCTGCGATACTGGTCCACCAATAAATTTGTTAGCTCCAAAATTATACAGAGTTAGACAAAACAAAAGTCTGGACACCACTAGTTAACTTTTTAACGCGTTGCAGTAGAAAAACCTAACTCGGAACATGTATACAACATAAAAAACTACATTTTTTCATTTAAGTCAAAACTTTGCCCTAGTACCAGTACCCAAAATGAGATATTTAGGGGGCAGCCCCAAATTTTCAAATGTAAACCCCTATCGAGTGACCCCTCATTTTAAAGGGTTTATCAAGAGGAACTAAATTGCGTAAACCGGAGGTCGATATCACACCCCTAACCAAAGTGGCAGCCATTTTAAAATTTGAGATGGGCAAGCAAGATAAAGTCTGGACAGTGAACACCCCCAGTTAACTTTTTAATGCATTGCAGTAGGAAAACCAAATTTGGCACATGTTTACAAAATAAAAAACTACACTTTTTCAACAAAGTTACAATTTTGCCCCGTCCCCGAAAATGGGGTATTTTGAGGGCAGCTCAAAAAATGTAAATATAAAGCCCCATCAAGGCTTTTATTCTTGAACTGTTAGGGGCCTCGTTCATATGTTTGTGCGGCTTCATTGGCAACAAATAATGCAAATAACAAAGCAATGCTTCATTTCCAAAAAGCAAATACCGTTTGTTATAGTTATTGTTATTGCGTTTGTTATTGTTGAATAGCGACGTTTACATGCATTGTTGTTAATCAACGAATATTATAAAGGAAGATGAGATCTAGTTTAAAGAAAACATGAGCTTCCTGTGATAGCAGCTGCCTAAATGGTAATTAATCTTAGTGCCAATATTTTTAACAGTCGAAGTGCAGTGTTATTTTCAAAAATCTCACTTAAGAGCAAGTTAAGTGGACCACGGTTCGTAATAGGCCACTGCAAATCATCTGTCAAGATATAGGTATTATTTTGGGCAAGGTTTCTGTGTTTGGATATTATTAGACACAATAAGAGCACAATGAACATCTTCTGCAGATGAATAATCCGTTAAGAGGAATATAAGCCGAATTAATAAATATCACAATCCAAGCGCATTAAAATAGCTCTGGCCTGAACGTTTTTGTAGTTGCGAGTTTGAGCATTTTTTTATGTCACTATCTGGGTACAGACACATAAACACATTGTATTTTTTAGGCTGCTGTTCGGTGCACTTTGAGAAATTTTTTTGAGATGAATTAAATGGTTTTCGTTGCTGAGTAGCGCGGTAAACATGCACAACCCTTTTCGTTAGTTTAATAACATTCAATGGCTCTATATTATGTTTTCACTAATAATGTGTTAAAATGTGTTACTCTCTGAAAAGTTTGCAGTAAATTGCAATTTTCCAGATTTATGACTTTACATAAAAATTATTAAAAACTTAATCCAGTTGCTGTAAACCACTATTAATGTAACAAAATATGGACATGGCTCATATGGGCAACGTGTCCTTCTGCATTTGTATTATTTTGTATTGAATAATTAAAAACGTGTGAATCTCATGAACTTATGATGATCGGTCTTGAATAATATGACAAAATATAAAAGTGGTCAAAAAGGCAGAAACCAAACCCGTACAATAGATCTAAGTAAACTCGATAAGAAATAGTTTTATGTGTTACTGTGATATTACGATTTTCCACTGATTTCGTGAACGTTATATTACAAAACATGACATGATACAGAAGAAAATCAATGTTAAAATCAGGAAAAAACATTGCTAATACATCATTTTGACAAATTCAGTCACTCCTATCCTCAGACCGAGACCTTTCTTTGGACACCTCTACCAAGTTTCTATGCCCAGCTGTTCTCTCAAATTAGTGGAGACAAAGTTTCCAATTAGATATTTAAATTCCCCCATGTTAATCTTATGGGTCCAAACTAATAAAGATTTCAATCAATAAAAACCACTTTGCAAAACTACAGATCAGGGCCATTTTTTTTACACTTTATTGATCAAAATTGGTTCAAAAATGAGGGAGGAGTTCTGTTAAAAAAACTCAGCTTAGCGTATCTATATATATAAAAGGCAAAGCCCTCACTGACTGACTGACTGACTGACTGACTGACTGACTCACTCACTCACTCATCACTAATTCTCCCACTTCCCATTTACCTAGGAGGCTGAAATTTGGTACACTGATTCTTTAGGCATTAAATAGGAAAACTAAGTAGTTTTTATTCTGATCGGACACTCGGGCTCCGCCCCAGTGGCTCTGGAGTTTCCCATGTTAACCTTATGAGTACTCATATTTAAATGGAATTAATGAATCTTAACAGCTGTTTCAATTAAACAAGTTGGTTCTGTTCTATGATGTGCAATAGCATTAAAGTTACAAGGATTACAAACAGGGTGCAGCACTATTATTTTTTTTAATTTATGACAGCTAATTTGCAACCAAAAGGTGAGTGAGCGTAGCGAACGAACTTCAACCTGGAGGCGAGTTAGCGTAGCGAACGAGCTAACCTGAAGGCAAGTGAGCGCAGCGAACGAGCTCCAACCTAAAAGTGAGTGAGAGTAGCAAACGAACTTCAACCAGGACGTGATTGAACCATGCGAACGAGCTTATCTTGAAAATTAAGAAGTTAAACGGGGCAAAGCCCGCGGGTACAGCTAGTTATATATATATAGATTTGATCAGAACTATATATCGAGTAATCTTTCTTCAGTCTAATCTTTGCTCGATAGTTACTACTGATGTTTTTCTCTTTGTACTGTATTTGGTAATTTGCTAGAGTATATTGTGGCTTGTTATGATCACATGTTACAAGTTCCTTGTTTACCTTTTCCTTGTTATTTTGTTAAACCAAAATAGTTACTTAGCACCCATAAGGCCAATGTTAAATTTTCAAATTAGTTATGTAGTGAAATACAAATTTTCCTGAGGTAGTGGCTTTCACCAATCACGTTTTTAGGGCTATGAGTCCCTAATTTCAAAATTTGGTCAAAATCCTTCGGCTGGATTTCAAGATATATATTACAGACAGATAAACAGACATTGCTCGTATTAGAGAATAGGATAGGATTTAATACTTGTTTCATGTTCTAACATGTTTTGCAAAGGTTAGTTTTGTACTAGCCACTCTGTGATAAAATTTATTAGAAACTTGTCACCCAATCTATTACCAATCATATTCTGTTAATCTCAAGTTTAAGTAGCTAAAGAGTTAAAATTTAATTCATGATCATTGCACTGTTACATTTGCCGACAAAGTTTGTCATTCTAAACCAAATTTAGTGTCTGAACAATCTGGGGTTAAATAATAAATGATTGGAGGAAGGCAAACCAAGAGTAAATTCAAACAATTCAGATTTATAGGCTGTCGCTGTCAGGACGAGTACCATTAACTTCAATAACTCTCACAAAGTTAAACTAACAACCCTGTGTGTTTAGCTCAGAGCTAGCCTGTCTGCACTGGATTTGACGACAATGGTGTGACTAATTCCACCTAAAATCCCTATTTGCCGAATCAAACAACTGGCCAGTTGTCATACACACACACATATATATATAGGCTACATATATATATATATATATATATCCTTTGGGTACTATACAGCCTCGAACATAATTATTTTAAACAAATAAGAAATTCGTTCAGAAACTCCTAGGTCCCATGCCATTCCCCCTGATGAAATGAGGGAATAAAATACATAAAATACTTTATTAATAATTGATGTAATAAAAAGGAAAGATATTAAAACATTAACACTTCAAACTGTGAACATATTAGGACAACATAATAATCTATTCAAGCAGCTGATATTAAAAGACACATTAAAAATATATTTGATTATATAGCACAAAGTAATACTATATAAAATCCTCAACACCCCCTCTTTCATAAACTGTTTTATTACATTTGTTCAATAATACATAAATCTGTCCAGACACTGTTGCCACAGTATTCAATTTGTTTGGGAGGATGATAGTCTATTTGTTTGTTGTTTTGTTTTGTTATTATCAATAGACGATAACTTTGTCTTGTACTATTGTGCATGTTATATCAATCTGGTACATTATATTTTGTTAAAATATTCTTGCAGTTTTTTTTTTTATCCCGTTAGCCAAGGTCCAGAGTACTAGATTTTATTAATTCAGTGAGACAATAAATTCCAACTAGTGTACATGTAGCTCGAATTCGAGCAATTGCAAAATATTACAGGAGTTATAAATAAACGAATAACAGTCATATTTACAATGAGTTTAAAAGAGTCCACTCAAAGATTACCGGTGTGTAGCTCAGACCATGATTATCTTTGTTATTGATAAACCTAAAGCATTCTCGCCGGTTTTCTCCTTCTCAAAACGCCTCGCTTGCAACCACAGGGTTTTTAGGTTCGTGCTTGGAACTCTCTTTAATTACCAATGTCCTTGCTACTATTTTAATTTGAAACTTTTTTTATGATAATAAAGTTAGCCTTTGATTTTTTTTTTTTTTTTTTTACTAAATAATTTTATATCGAATTTGGATAAGATTGTTCTAAAACAAAAGTCTTTACTTGAATCAAGATTTTAGGCTATATAAATTTTAACAGTTACGAGGCTACTCGATCCACCTCAGAGTAGGCTAATGTTCTCAAATTGTCCAACACCTAAATAGTTGTTTGTAATAATAAGATGGAGATTACCAAGTTTCTTCCAAGTTTCCACATTTCTTCTTGTTTAAACTATTTGAAATAATGAGACTGTTTTGGTTTAGCTTTTCACTTTTTACTAGAAAATATTATAATATAAAAATCATACAAAACAGTTTTTTTTTTAAACTCTCACCCAGATAGTTCATGATAGAAGAAGAAGGAAATCCAGTTGTTACCTAACACATGTTTTTCAGCAACAATGTATTCAGGTCTTCTATATCTTGAAGTTCACTGTTCACTTTTTAGTCACTCAGGCCAATTAATAGTATATGAAATTTAATTTGGGTAAATTACTTTTTGAGATTTTGTTTAGATATATATAATTATTTTTACTTTAGCTTGTGTTTGAAATAGATTTTAAACATAGTATATTTTAAATAGGCTTTTAGGCTTAATTGACTGGTAATAGGCTATTTATATATTATTTAATTATACAAAATTTTATGAACTGTTGCACGCTGTACAGTGTACAGGCAACACAGGTCATTGATAGAGGGCCAATAATCGAGAACGAAAAGTTGTTTTGGGTAGTGTTAGGGCGCATTTGTAACCTAATAGTTGAGATTGTCCAGGGTGTGCTGACTGTGATGAGTTAAGCCTACTACGCGCCACTGTTCTGTAGTTGCGGTCGTTATCACGATTACGCCTCCTGTCTATGTTTCGTTGTCGTAGCTTCGGAGGTATTTAAAAGAAAAAACAACAAATAAACAAATTATAGCTACACAAAACAACGATAAATGCAATAATTTAAGTTACAATCATGCTAACACGATCCGTCATAGCAACACAAAACAACAATAAATACACAATTTTAAGATACAACCATACTAAAACGATCCACCTTGGGGGTTATGTTTACACAAACTCAAATAGTAAATAAATGTACTCAATGCGTTGTTATTAATGTGTTATATAATTCACAGGCATCAAACTCAATGCGTTTCATTGAATTGAAAAATAAATGACAGCAATTAAATTATACAGCTGATCAAAATGTAAACAATTATGTTCTTCATAAGGATAACATAGGAACTTTTAAAGCCACTGGGGCAGAGCCCAAGGGTCTTTTAAAAAAATGTAAGGCCAGTTTGCAAATCTACGCGACACGCTCTTTCCAATGAGACGTCAATGGGTAAAATCGGTTAAGAAATGGCAGAGGAGTTCAACCGACAAAGTTTCATGTAGCGTATTAATTATATAGATATCAGCCTATATCTGTTTATTTATTTTTTATTTATTTATTCTTTATTGTTAATTCGTCAAGAATTACAATAGTGTCAATACAATAGTGAATTGTACATGTTCAATTCAATTTACAACTTTCGTGTAAGGTAATTCAATTTGTTGGTCCAATTCTTATACAGTTCATATTTTTTTTAGGTAATAAATTGTTTCATTATTGTATTCAGACCAAACAATCAGTGATATTATTAATCTGTCCTTTCAGTAGTGTATTTATTTTTCCCAAATTTGACAGTATAATTGATTTCACATTTTTTCATAAAAAAGGAAAAGATACTGCTAGCATTGTAGCAAACCATTCAGAAATAGGAACAAAAGTAGATTTCTTGTCAGTGTTTAGAATAATGTACCAAACATTCTCCAATTTAAAGATTTGTATATTCTGTGTAACAATCTATATCTATAAAAGAGGAAGTATGTATGTATGTACCCTATGGACTCTGAAACCGCTTGACAGATTGTAATGAAACTTTCAGGTATTATTAAGCATTATTCAAGGATTGTGTGTGTGAAGTTTGGTGCCGATCCGTCAAAAGGGCTCCGCTTCAGAGAGTTTTAAGTGGTCCAATGTTAGACTTATTTTGGAACTACAATGTTTACAAATGAATATAATTTTGTTCTATAACCACATAATCTAACATAAATTATGTTTAAGTGAACAATACTCGTGCGTGCTATCTCAGGTATTCAGAATCCTCCAAATGTGTCATTAACCCCCCTCATTACTGCAATTAAAAGAAAGAACTCAAATAATACTAATGCGAAACTTAAACCCACCAAAGCTGTGCAACAGAACCAGACTGATTAAAAAATGACACCAAACTTGATCGAAGCAACAATCATCAGTGGTAAGTTTACAGGAGAAATAGTCTTAATCCCAAGAATATTGATGATTTCATCCGAATTACCCTTTGAATTCAAGCGACTACAATTTCCTTTGCGTCATGCTTTTGCAATCACCATTAAGGCACAAGGGCAATCCCTGACTATCACCGGTTTAAATTTAGAAAATGCATGCTTTTCAAACGGACAGCTGTATATTGTGTGCTCACGTGGTGGTAGTTATGCCTAAAAACTTATATTTATACACCTAATGAAAAAACAAAAAAAGTTGTTTATCCACTGGCAACAAAGTAAAATAAATATTCTATTTTTGTTTTTGGTACAAATTTTTATTATTTGTTGTAAATAACAAATTACTATTTAAAAATAATAGTTGTTAGCGCAGCAACGCGCGCCGGGTAACTGCTAGTTATTTATAATACATTTTTTTAAAATTATTTAATTTGATATCTAGGTAGTCACCTTCGTGCCAGCACACTGTTCCATGGCTGATTGACCCATGAGCAGGGACTAGGGTCTATTATAGAATCAGTGCTGCCATCTGGGCATAGCAACTTAAACTCGTTAGGATTGGCCATCGCACTGAATCCTGGTTCTAGCTGAAACAATAATTAAACAAGCTATTTATCTGCTGGAGGTTAATCCTAATATTATATTTGGAAATAAATTATTTAAAATATAACAGCTTGACAATGATTAACCCAAATTGGATCTCATAATGCATCACAGAACGTTAACTGAACTTTACTTTTAAAAGCAAGGTTATTGTCATCAAATTATGACATATAAATAATTATTATGATATATTGGGGATATTCAAATTGTGTTGTTCCCGACATTAACTATAAAACATTCAAAATCTTACTAATACATATATTTTGTTATTTGTAGCAGTAGTAATTAATTCTATGTTGGTACTGACTGAGCCAATTTATTTTTATTTTTTATTTTAAAATCTGTTCATCTATCTATACTATTATAAAGAAGAGGTTGTGTCTGTGAGTCTGTGTGTTTGTATGAGATAAACTCAAAAACTACTGAAACGATTGGGCACAAATTGGACAAAAAATAAAGCTACCACTCCGAGGATACATATAGAACTATTTTCACTTCGATATTGAACTAGGACTCTGTCCCGCGGGCTTTCAAAATTCTGAGGTAAGAGATTTAAATATTGATTGGTCTCCATGGTAACTAGGATTGCAGTGAAATCCAGTTGAGTGGAGCAATCATGTTGCATGGTTTTTAATAAAGCAATAAATGAACAAATGTTTATCGATATACCGTATACAAAATACAAATGTTCCCACACTCTGCACTGCTAGCCTTTACTACTTCCTTCACCACTTCCTACGTTGTGGACCTGTTTCCCTCCCTTCCTAGAGCATTTTAGGATTGCGGATACATTAATCTAACTGCTACAGACAGTTCCCACACACCGCACTCCTGGCCTTTACTACTTCCTTCACCACTTCCTACGTCGTGGACCTGTTTCCCTTCCATCCCATAGCATTATAGTATTGCAGATACATTAATCCAACTGCCACAAACGGTTTCCACACTCCGCACTGCCAGCCTTTACTATTTCCTTCACCCCTTCCTACGTCGTGGACCTGTTTCCCTCACTTCCCATCACATTTTAGGATTGCAGATACATTAATCTAACTGCCACAGACGGTTCCCACACACCACACTCCTGGCATTTACTACTTCCTTCACCACTTCCTACGCTTTGGACCTGTTTCCCATCTTTCCCATAGCATTTTAGGATTGCAGATACATTAATATAACTGCCACAGATAGTTCCTACACTCCAGACTGTTCACATTTACTCCTTCCTACACCACTTCCTACGTCTTGAACCTGTTTCCCTCCCTTCCCATAACATTTTAGTATTGCAGATACATTGATGTAACTGCCACAACCTTAACTCATTCCTTCACCACTTCCTACGTCTTGGACCTGTTTCCCTCTCTTCCCATAACATTTTAGTATTGCAGATACATTAATGTAACTGCCACAAACGGTTCCCACACTCCGCACTGCCAGGCTTTACTTCTTCCTTCACCTACTTCCTACGTCGTGGACCTGCTTAAGTTTGCCATTTATGAGATGGATCCATGAATGTGATTCACCGACGAATTGTTTTGAATCAAATGTTTTTTGTTATAACCTTATTTAGCTACATAAATCAAATCTGTAAAATACTGTACCTATTCGACTAGTGGTTGTTTCCAAATTGCAACTTAAATGTAAACCTAAGACTTTTTCCGTCTTACTTCATCAGTTGTCATCACACGAAATTATTTCCTTTGAACTGTGTTTAGGTCGCGGCTTGATTTTAACATATGCTATGATTCTTTGTTTTGTTTACATTTACGTCGTTATTTTATAACCATCATGGCAACCCATAAGGCCAAAGTTAAAATGTAAAAACTTTTAGTTACTTTAGAATTATATAGGCATTATCAAAAATTGAAATTGGTTACGTCTAAACCATCTAAACATTTGACAAAACAACCTTGGTAAGATTGGCTAAAATATGTTCAGCCGTTATTGAGATTAAGTGGTATACAGATTACATTGAAGTTGATCACAAAGAGCTTCGCTTCGCTCCGATCTCACAAAGTTTAAATGTAAACAAGCAGACTGTCAAATGAATTAATTTTGATTTCACATTTCCACACAGCTCGTTCAAACATATTAAATACTGCACTATGTTTGAACCAGCTGTGTGGAAATGTGAAATCCAAAATTAATTCATTTGACAGTTAAGAAATTATAACAATTTCAAAAATTTAACTAGAAATTACTTCAACGAAAGGTTGCCCACCCAAGACACACCTTTAACACATTTAAACTTTGTGAGATCGGAGCGAAGCGAAGCTCTTTGTGATCAACTTCAATGTAATCTTTATAACACTTCTGAATAACAGCTGATCATATTTAGCCAATCTTACTAAGGTTGTTTTGTCAAATGTTTCGATGGTTTACGCACAGATATTAGACCAGAAAGGGTAAGGATCATAAAAATTTAAAAAAATGATGTCACTCGAGTGAATGCAAACATTATTTAACATGACTTAAATGGAACTATCAAACCATATGTTAAGGTCGTTAGTATAGGATTCTTTCAGTTACGTCATTTGATAATGTTTGTTTATTATCTATACTGACTGAGGCTGTTCTGATATTTGTGAAATGCTGTAATAATATTTTACAGGGAATGAGTCATTGTAAATTAAATTATTCATGGATATAGGAAATAATATTAAGATTCTATAATCATTGCCATATCAATCTAGGCTCTTATCCTGAGATTTATGAGAATTATTTTATTTTTTAATTTTTGTGTAAACAGTAATAAAATACCCCTGACTCAGCAAATCTGCAGATTAAGCAAATTTCCATTTGCCTGATTATAATTTCACTAAAATATGTTATAAAATTTCTCTATTGACAGGTTTGGAACTATTGGAATAGCTTTTCGCAGTACAAACCATTCAACATGTTATTTGATTATACCTTAAAATCTATCATTGATTTTGTATCCTAGGTAGTCTAAATAAGTGTTCACAGTCTGAGTTAACGAAAACCTACTATCATGAAGTTAAGTAATATAGTTCAATTTAGTTTCTAAATTAAATGGTAGGTGTGAAACCATTTTTAAGCCATTTTCAAAGAACCAATGTTGTCTCTTTTGCATACTGACCCCGTTGCAAGGCACGGGTATAGCTGCTAGTAAGAATATAAGAACAATAAGTAAAATATTTATAATAATAAGGCAAATGGCAGGAAGCAAGCACCTGTCATCAACAAGTCTTGCCAAAAATTTGATCAATCATTTAAAGAAATCTGTAGCTCTGGTTCAACACATGAACACCACTTTTTAGTCTGGTTATACACTGACTATTGTCCAACAGATTAACAGCCAGACTGTTTGGGTGATATTCTAATTTTTCTTGGTACTCTTTGCTATGGTCTGTAATTTCTTCTTTTACTGATTTAATTTTTAAATCATTCCTAATTGTAGTGTTGGATACAAACCAGGGTGCGCCAATAATTCTTCTCAATGTCTTAGCCTGAAATCTTTCAAGAATTTCAATGTTGGATTTGCTCGAGGTCCCCCAAAGTTGAATGCCGTAAGTCCAAATTGGTTTGATCATAACTTTATGTAGTAAAACTTTGTTAGCCAATGATGATTTCGAATGTGTACCTAGTTTAGCCAATTGAGTTTACGGATGTTTAACATTATTAATGGATACTGGAGGATTGTACTCTGTTCTCAGAGTAAAAACAATATGTTTAGACTTGTTTTCGTTGACTTTTATCTTCCACATTGTAAGCCAATATTGGAGCTCATTCAAGGCAGCTTGCAGATTAATGGAAGTGACTTGAGGGTCCACATGACTCGACAACAGTGCAGTGTCATCAGCGAATGTAGCAACTGTGAGGTTGGGGACCATAGGGATGTCTGCTGTATATGTCAAATATAGCAAGGGACAAAGGACACCCCCCTGAGGTACTACAGACTGTATCGACTTCAGATCAGATAAAGAATTTTCGAATTTTAAGATCGATTGGTTAGATATGATTTTAGAAGCTTATACAAAGAGTGAGGGAGAGACGTTTTGAGTCCAAACAGAAGTGTCAAATTTGTTGAATGGTGGAATGATGTTTGCGGAAGCCGAACTGATGATCTGGTATTAAGTTTAGTTCATCTACAGTGGGGGGGTTAACCTTTTGAATATTATCTTTTCAAACAATTCAAAGCAAACTTATGGGTCTGTAAGAAGATGTGTCATTAGGTGGTTTGCCTGGTTTTGGTATAACAACTATTTGTGCAATTTTCAGTTGAACAGGAATATATTCCAATTATAAAATAGGATTAAATATAAATGTCAACAACATAATGCCTTTTCGGGTCAGTTCTCTTAGAATTTTTCCAGTGATGAGATCGTATCCATGACTTTTCATGGGGTAATTTCTTTAAAAATTATTCTTGAAACCTCTGAAGGAGTGCAAAATTTAATAGGCAGAGACAACTGATTCGGTGCATCCAAAAATTTGTGAATTTCACAAGCCAATTTCACGTGTCAATTAGATTATGGATTTCTATTTACTGTAAACAAACAAACCTATTTGGAAAAATATTCAACAAAGCAGCTGTGGATTGGCTGAGTCAGTAGGTTTCTTGGAACGGAGGTAGGTAAGTGTAGAGCGCCCTAAAATCCATCTCTGCAGATATCTTACTTGAATAATGTCTAGTATTTCCAAGATAGTGTTTCAAAATATAGATAGGCATCACGAATTTAAAATAAATACATTGTCTTTATAGTATAGTTAATCTATCGTCTACATTTTAAATCTAATACACAGTTAAATACTGACACCAAAGTACTGGCGCACATATCGCAGAGCCACGTAGGCCACGTCACCACCACGGTGTGTGAGGCAGGTGAGGGCTGCACGGTGGCTGCCTGTCTCATGGCTTGCGTAGGCACAGGTCTTGGGAGAGTCACACAGAGAGCACAGGTTACTGTAGTTCAGCTCTGCAAACATAACACGTTGTAAACAGCAATCCGAACAGTATTAACACATTGTGCTCCCTAGTGGGAACACGATGCATATGTTTTAGGATGTTTTGCTTTGTTGGCTGTGATGGCTACATGTTTCATAAGATTACTACATTTAAGGGGAGTGTATTTCACTACTCCAGCATAAATAGACAGTCAAGTTACCCATCAATAATAACATGCCCCAGGCATGCTGAATTTGTACAAAATTACAATGGATCATGGCAAGCAAAATAGTTAAAATTAAGTAATGTTACTTGTGAATGATTCTAGAAAAATAGTTAAATAAGAAGAATCGTTTTGCAAACTTACTCAAGCGAGCATCAAACATGTCCTCCTGCACCCAGGGTCCAGGCCTGCAAGCGCTGTTGAAGAAAGAGGACAAGGCTTTTATCTCTTGTTCAACCAGAGACATATTGTTATCTTCACACGGAGTGGTTACCACAAATCTCTCAAAGTGCTACAACATAAGAAAATCAAAGGTACCTAACAAAATAAATATGTAATAATCATGTTCATTATACTTCATTAGTCGTCTTTGGTTTATGTTTTGTAGCTGTAATATATATTCACCAAGAGTTAAAACATCACTCTGTTTCAAAATGCAATTCATCAAAGCTCTAGGCTTTTCATACAGTACAAAGCTTTTGTGGTTATACTGCCTGGTAGCAAATCAGTATTTGTTGACCTCCACCTCAAGTCGACCTCTAGTGAATAAAAGGGTCCGCATTTCAGAGCCACAACGACCGCTACTAGATAAACACAAAAGGGACCTCATCCCCTCAATAAACAAAAAAAAATTGTACTGAATTTGATGTGATAAATATCAAATACTAGCTGACCCGACAGACGTCGTCCTGTCCTAATGTGGTTTCATGTCAATGCTCGTTCATTTTCAAGATGAGCTCATTTGCATGGCTCAATCACGTCCTGGATGAAGTTCCTTTGCTATGCTTACTCACTTAGGTAGGAGCTCGTTCGCTGCGCTCATTCGCCTTCAGGTTAGCTTGTTCGCTACGCTAACTCGCCTTCAGGTTAGCTCGTTCGCTTCGCTAACTCGCCTTCAGGTTAGCTCGTTCGCTTCGCTAACTCGCCTTCAGGTTAGCTCGTTCGCTACGCTAACTCGCCTTCAGGTTAGCTCGTTCGCTACGCTAACTCGCCTCCAGGTTAAAGTTTGTTCACTACGCTCACTCACCTTTTGGTTGCAAATTATCTGTTGTCATAAAATTAAAGAAATAACAGTGCTGCACCCTATTGGTAAACCTATTAACTTTTCAATGCTATTGAACATAGAATCAAATTCTTTAGTTGAACCAGCTGTTAAGATTCTTTAATTCCATTTAAATGTAAGTATGCATAAGGTTAACATGGGAAACTCCAGAGCCACAAAATTATATTCATTTGTAAACATTGTAGTTCCAAAAGTCTGACATTGGACCACTTAAAACTCTCTGAAGCGGAGCCCTTTAGACGGATCTGCACCAAACTTCACACAAACCATCCTTGAATAATGCTTAATAATGCCTGAAAGTTTCATTACAATCTGTCGAGCGATTTCGGAGTCCATAAAGGACAAACAAACAAACATACATACATTGGATTTTATATATATAGATGAGTAAACCTGAAGACCTATTCAGCTGATTTAGACAATCGACTACAATACCCACAATGCACCATGCACTACGAGTGATAGGGGAGGGCCTCCAGCCGGGGAGAGGTCACTGGTCAGTTGTGTTCCTGTCCTCTCCAAGGTAGTAGGTGAGCTTTAGATCAGGTCCTGCATTTTTTTTTTCATTTTTTATTCACGGTGTTAGCTGGACAAATTTTTATTTTCATCAAATCGTAAAGCCTATATCCCGCAGGGATATAATTTCCGCACGAGTGAAAGAAAAACCAGTTTGAGAAGGGAAAAAGTCGCAAAACTTCTTTACCAGCTAACACAAACCATTGAAAATTTCACACATTCGTTGATCAAACCAATTCATTCGCAGTTTTTTTTAAAAAGCTCACCTAATTCCGTATTTCCTCCCTCCCCTGTATTTTTGTGTTGGACGTCCAAACTGTAAGTAATATATGTTAATTATTGTCTCATTTATAATCATTTCAGTGGGTCGCACATGCCATAATTTTTCAGGTTACACTTTGTCATTTCCTGTTACATAAGCACATGTCTCCCAACTTTGAGTTTTTGTAAGTGATTTTTATATCCATTTTTAGCTATTCAATCAGTATTAAATCGTAGACTGTGATATTATTATGCTTTTAACTTTTAGGCTTAAATAAGTGAACAGGTTTTTGTAGAAAAATTTAACGTAACTTGTAAAGAATTTTGTTACAATATTATTATTTGTAAACTCATTATTTTCACATTTTTGTAATGTTCAATCAAATATTTACTGAGAGTGTAACAGCCATTGGTGTTTAAATTGGGAAATAAAATAATTGGAAGTTGAGGTGGACTGCAGGTTCGAAGAGATGCGACTATGGTAGGTGAGGTCGTGTGTGTTGTATGATAGATGAACCCGCCATAACACTCTGTAGCAATTACATAACGTTACATAAGACACAATCTTCATTTTATATTCGTTGGCCAACGAGAAGGATTAGTGAGAGTTGGTTATCTCAATATTAAATTAAATTTCACACCTCACCTTCATAGTCGTAGTTGAATTGTAACCACGTCAAACACTTCTCTTACCAAGGGGTTGGTTTTGCATTTTTTTCAAGAAAGAGATCAATGGCCATTATACTCAAGTTCTGAGCAATTAGTATCAATATTTTTAAATATTTGTTTGAGTGGTTACAGTATAAGGATTAAGTACCTGGGGAGTGGGGACCGAGCTTTGCTCAGGGAAAATCATTCCCCCACTCTGCGATGCCAGCCTTTACTACTTCCTACACCGTTTCCTACGTCATGGCCCTGTTTCCTTCCCTTCTCATAGCATTTAAGTATTACAGATACATTAATCAACTGCCACAAACGGTTCCCACACTCTGCGATGCTAAACATTACTACAGTAGACTCCCTCTTATCCGGACACCTTTTAACTGGACATTGGTTTAACCGGACCACGCTCGGTAGAAGTGACATCTCTTTATCCGGATAATTTTTATCAGCACATCGGTTTAACCGGACTAGATCGCCAGGAAGTGGGCGGTACTGAAACGACTGTTCTCATGGAAAAGATTTGAGACCAGTGATTACGTGTCTAAATACAATAATGCTCTCCTAATTTTAAGTCAAATACTGTTTAGAGTATGCATTTAAACGGTACTTTTTAATGAGATTTTGGGGACGTCGGTTTAACCGGAAACCCCGTTAAACGGACTGGCCTCGGTCCCGAGGAGTCCGGATAAGAGGGAGTCTACTGTACTTCCTACGTCGTGGACCTGTTTTCATCTCTTTCCATAACATTTTAGTATTTTAAATACATTAACCTAATTGCCACAAACATTTCCCACACTCCGCACTGCTAGCATTTACTACTTATTTCACCATTTCCTATGTCTTGGACATGTTTCCATCCCTTCTCATAGCATTTCACTATTTCAATTCCAGATACATAAATCTAACTGTTACAGTTAATTGGTTTCCAGTTCCCAGACTCCACACTACTCGCCTTTACTACTTCCTTCACCTCTTCCTATGTCGCGGACCTGTTTCCCTCCCTTCCCATTGCATTTTAAGATTGCAGATACCTTAATCTAATCCTCATAAACAGTTCCCACACCCCGGACTGCTCACCTTGACTACTTCCTTCACCACTTACTACGTCACGTACCTGTTTCCCTCCCTTCCCATAGCATTTTAGGATTGTAGATACCTTAATGTAATCATCATAAACAGTTCCCACACTCCGGACCGCTAACCTATACTACTTCCTTCACCAATTCCTCTTCCTGCGTCACGGAACTGTTTCCTTTCCTTCCCATAGAATTTTAGAATTGCAGATACTTTAATCTAAGCGTCATTTACAGTTCCCGCACTCAGGAGAGCACGCATTGACTACTTCCTTCACCACTTCCTACGTCGCAAACCTGTTTCCTTACATTCCCATAGCATTTTAGGATTGCAGATACCTTACCATCCTTAAGAATAAGAATAAGAATAAGAATCCTTTATTGTCATTAGACACGGTTGTGCAATAGACATTGTCAAAGAAAACTATACACTAGAAAATGTAACAGAGTCATGAACATTATCACAGTAGACCTTATGTAACATACATGTAAAACATAGCCTATATCACAGAAGAGATCACAGTTGTCAATTGAGAATAAATATCATAAAATAAAAATTGTTGAATAACAATGCATGTTACTTAAAATCTATAAAATCAGTAGCACTCAAATGCAAAAACTCATTAACAGAATAAAGTGGGTGCTTTAGAAGACCATTTGTTACAACAGTTTTAAAATTAGCAAAGGATTCAATATTCTTGACATGATGAGGTAGTATATTGTACAGTTTAAGCCCTATAACTTTAGAGCTTTTGGCTGCTTTGGTCAATCTACAAAAGGGAATGTCAATTTCATGGAACATCTTATGGAACAGTTGAAGCCACTTTTATTGCTAGTTCTGTCTGGTCTTCTGTAGATGTCGTGTTTTGTTTAGAGTTTGTTTCTATTATTTTAGGGTTAGTTTCTCATTATTTGTGTCTCACCGTTTGGTTATATAGCCAACGATAAAGATTAAGTAAAGTAAAGATTAACTAGTATTATTTGGTTAAACGAGGTTTTAAATTACTGAAATAACAGGAAACAGAATGTAAACAAAGCACGACATCTACAGAAAACCGGACAGAACTTACAATAAAATTGGCTTCAGCTGTTCCATAAGGATGGGAAATCTACCTTAATCTAATCGTCATAACAGATCCCACACTCCGCACTGCTAATTGTTAGCCTTTACTACAATGTATCGAGTAAGCTTCAGTATAATCATTGCTCAATAGTAACAAGTGATGTTTTTGCTTTTATATGTAATTTATAGTATACTGTGGGTAGATGCCTTTACGAACACATGTGTTACAACTAACAAGTCTTTTGTTTACTTTTTCCTTGTTATTTAATTCAACCAACATGGTTACTTAGCAACCCATAAGACTAATGTAAAAAAATGTTACTTTCAGTTTTATTTTTCGACGTAATTAGATTTTTGTTGGCAGTTCTAACGGCAGTAAACTTGTTTTTAGGCCAAAAATAAACTATTTACAACATTTGAAGAAAATTGTCGGAGCCGTTTTCGAGATCTTTCTGCAAGCAAGCAAGCAAGCATACATACATACATACAAGTAAACATTGCTCGTATTAGAATATAGGATTGTAAAAAAATCGCATTGTTGCTCTGTTGATAAAAGTATTGTACAATAAATCGAATTGTTATATATTTTCAGAACTCTTAATAACCTTAGCATTTCATTTTTGGTATTATACAATTTCATTAAATAGATTTGGGTAATGATAGCAAGTAAGAAGCCACTACAAAAGATTCACATTGAAGTGCAACACTAAAATTAGTGTGATAGTGTGAAAAGTAGAGTCAGTGTATATTTAAGATTGTTTTCAGCACTGGAAGAACTTTAAACAGTACCAGGGATGTCCCCTAAGGATCTCTGGAAATAATTTTATTCTACAGGGCCCACTCAATTTTTATTTAACATCAAGTATCTACTGCCAACGCTCTGTTGTTTATTTTATTCATTTGTTCTTCCAACCCAGGGGCAACCAAGATTTGTAAAGAATCTTTCATTTAAAAGTCATTTGAACGTATTGCAAAGAGAGTAGTATATCTATATATAACATCCAATGTATGTTTGTTTGTATGTTTATTTGTTTGTTTGTTTTTTTGTCCTTTATGGACTCCGAAACCGCTTGACAGATTGTAATGAAACTTTCAGACATTATTAAGCATTATTTAAGGATGGTTTGTGTGAAGTAAAGGGCAGATCCGTCAAAAAGGCTCCGCCCCAGTGGCTCTGGAGTTTCCCATGTTAACTTTATGAGTGCTCATATTTAAATGGAATTAAAGAATCTTAACAGCTGGTTCAAATAATCAGTTACATTCTGTGATGTTCAATAGTATTAAAAAGTTAATAGGTTTACCAACAGGGTGCAGCATTATTTTTTTTTAATTTATGACAACAGCTAATTTGCAACCAAAAGGTTAGTGAGCGTAGCGAACGAGCTAACCTGAAGGCGAGTGAGCGCAGCGAACGAGCTCCAACCTAAAGGTGAGTGAGCGTAGCGAAGGAACTTCAATCAGGACGTGATTGAGCCATGTGAACGAGCTCATCTTGAAAATGAACGAACATTTGACATAAAACCACCTTAGGTCAGGACGACGTCTACTAGCTTTAAATATAAGTCAGAGTAATTTTCTTTTTTTTCTTTACAAAATCAAGATCTGGAACAAAAATCTGTCTTTTTGCAATTTGAATCCATTTCTCACGCTCCCTCCGCCAATAACACTCATCCCCTTACATGACCACTCAGCGTTCCCTCGTTATGGAGGTCTGCACTCTGATTTTTCCTCATAAATATAGATTCATAAATTAGTATAGTTAGTAAACGGTATGAACCTTTGCCTAATGTTAGTGTTTATTGTATTGCTAATCATTCATAGTGAGGGAGCAAGCTGGAAGCTGGTCTACAGTCAACCAACCCGAAAAGGTACTTGTGCCCACTGCGGGGAATTAGAGAAAAGGGTCAACTATGGCAGGAAAATGCCTTTCCAAAAGCATTGGTTTTGCCACCGAATTGCCAACTACCTGAGACTTATTTTCCTCACACCCCTGACAATAATTTTCTGTGCACACAGCCCCACTAAGTAGAGTAGTGCCAGGTGAGTGGTAGAGTGAAGACCAAACGTTTACTTCAAGGATAGTACAGCGTCTTCACCCCACCTGGGAAGTGCTTTCTTCAGGTTGTTTGACTATAGAGGTAGAGCATGGGACTTTGATCCCCGAGGTTCTGGGTTCAAATCCTGCCAATCACTTCTTAAGCTGATATTAAATATCTCCAGTTTACCAGGTGAGCACTTTTTTTACTCCAATATCTAGCACAAGCTGTATCTTACATTCTGATTCCATCATTTGACTCTCGATGGATCATTTACCTTGAGTACTGAATCCGTCCAGAGACCCCCAGGAGCAAACCCAGGATGACAGAAGTTTGAGCCTCTCAGACTGCTGAGTGTTCCTCCGTAAGTGCTCTTGACCACAGCCACTGCTTGGAACGCATAAGGATCTGTATGAAAAACAACATAGTGAGGTAGATGTTAGCCTCCGGATTGCCAAATAATATTAAAAACAAAAACGTTGGAGCCAACATCAGGTGGTACAAAGAAGTTTTCTTTCTTTATATAAAGAGTGTCATGTTTAACATATAAAAATAAATAAACATTTAAACATGATACAAAACGTTTTTGACTACTGATCAGTTATCAAAAACAGATTGTTTAACAGATGACTCTAACCCGGCAGGGTTTGAGATTTTCTGCGAAGGGGTTATTTATATGTTTTATTTGATAGTTGAAAGAATATTTTATTGTAAAGCTACCACCTACTAAATTGAAAATATTAACTATGCGACTATTCATGTTCACAGTACCTGTAATCCTTTCTACATGTCTAATATCCGCAATAACTTGGGCACTCTTGTCTATGAAGTTTGATGCTAGGAGAGCTTCTTCAGCAGTAAATACACCAAATTCTGCCAATCCCTGTTGTATCTTCAGTGCACAGTCCACACTAATACATGAAATAGAACATTTTGAAATTCTTTTGCCCCTCTGCTTTTTAGAGCACTACATTCCTCATGTTAATTACCAAATAGTTTTACACTAACACAACGATGAAATTGATTTTAAGGACTTTCTACTATCCCAGTATACTTATAAGGAATAATTATTTTTATGTAGAGCCTAAAGTTTTCATAAATTAAAATGATGAGATATTTTACAATTTAAAGAAGTAATAGTTTTAAGTATGACGAGCTGGTGGCCCGTCCTACGTACGGAAATCGAGTTGTCAACTAAAATGGAATAATTCAGAACATCTAGTTTACACGTATAGACACAAATTCCGGAAGTTTTAATGGGGAAGATCACCTTATGAACAAATGTAACGTGACCACCTATTTATTCCATTCGAATATAGATCTATAATATGGCGATGGTATTTTAAATCCGATAATTTTACCATAAAACAGCATTTGTGTCGATTTGAAAAATCTTGAAGTGAGATTGGCGACCGATTCACGCTGGTTTTGAGTAGATATGCCACCTCCAATTGCATACTGTACTACTTATGTACTTACCGTACCTTATCTTACACCCGTGACCACTGAAACTTTTATGAGGATTCTCTTCTATCACCTGCCTCTTCCAAATTTAGATCCCAGTCTGAGGATGCATTTCATAACTTGATATTTCCCGTCTATCGTTTGGTACTCCTTGGAATATACTTTATAAAAGTTTATGCACAGCCTGTCCATCCAAGCTTTACCTACTTCTGGAAAGCATCCCTATATTTGGGAATTAAAAGGGTTGCTGCCAAGTTTGTTCCTCAGGCTCTGGATGACAATCAAAGAAATCAGCAATGTAAACTTGTCAAGCTTTGAAACAGCAGCTCCGTACTGACACAACATTTTTGTCAAAATGTTGTCTAGTTGCTAAAAGGCATTTTAACCCAAACCTGAAAGTAAGATCCACCCAATGTTTTGTATTGTTTTCTGTTTCTTCAAGACCTACATAATGAAAAACTGCAGGGTGCCACTTTGTCACCCTTGAGCAAATTGAAATATTCAAGATAGCCACCAAACTGTATATTATAGGCTATATCTTTGCCTATAAAAGAGACAGGTTAATCATTTTTGTGTTTAACTTTATGTTTCAAGGGTCTGAGAATACCAATAGTGGATTATCTTGGTAATAAAATAATATATACTAGTGTACATGTTGCTCGAATTCGAGCAATTGCAAAGTATTACAGGAGTTATTTAAAAACGAATAACAGTCATATTTACAATGAGTTTAAATGAGTCAACTCACAAGATTACCGGTGTGTGGAGATACTCACGATGTATTTATCTCGTGACGGTGTTATTATATTATCATATTATTATATGACTGGGACGGGTGGCGTCTTTCTGTAATCCAGCTACTAGGAGGTCACGAATTGTGGATATTTATAGGCATGCACTGTGGATGCGATACTCCCTGGTGTGGATTAACGTCTGCACGAGTGAGTGCTACGACTACCCGCAGTACTATCCTGATAATTAGACCAATTCGTATATACCAAGGCAAAGAAATGTGGTTCGGATTCCACTATGAACTGTAGGTCCCTTAGTTGCCCTTAGCTGTATGGGCTATTAATTAACAGCTGTGTCTAAGGAATGTCGGCCTTAGCCACTAACAAGACTACAAGATCGCACCACTCATCCTACACTCATCTCCATTCATACTTGGCTTAAAATACCTACTATGTATGGTCGCCATTTCATAAAAAAGTATTTAAACTATTTAAAAGTATTTAAAGTATATAACAGTAATCAACATTTCCTGTAAATATTGTATCATGTTTCATAACCTGGTATTGCCTTTTAATGTTTTCTACAAACATTTCCTGACTTATAGCCATATAAGGTTGTCCATGTTTATCTTAGTTTTTGATAAACCTAAAGCATTCCGGCCGGTTTTCTCCTTCTCAAAATGCCTCGCTGTACAGGCAACACAGGCCATTGATAGAGGGCCAATTGAGAACAAAAATTGTGTTCTCGTTTTGGGGTAGTGTTAAGGCGCATTTGTAACCTAATAGTTGAGGTTGTCCAGGGTCAGGTGCTGACTGTGATGAGTTAAGCCACTGTTCTGTAGCTGCGGTCGTTATCACGATTACGCCTCCTGTCCATGTTTCGTTGTTGTCGTGTCGGAGGCATTTAAAAGAAAAAACAACAAATAAACAAATTATAGCTACACAAAACAACGATAAATGCACAAATTTAAGTTACAATCATGCTAACACAATCCGTCATAGCTACACAAAACAACGATAAATAAATTCACAAATTTACGTTACAATCATGCTAACACGATCCGTCATAGCGACACAAGACAACAATAAATACACAAATTTAAGATACAACCGTACTAACACGATCCGTCTTGGGGGTTATGTTTAGACAAACTCAAATAGCCTAGTAAATAAATGTACCTACTCAATGCATTTCATTGAATTGGAAAATAAATAACAGCAATTAAATTATACAGCTGATCATAATGTAAACAATTATGTTCTTTATAAGGATAACATGGGAACTTTCAAAGCCACTGGGGCAGAAATATAAGGCCAGTTAGCAAATCTACGTGACACGCTCTTTCCAATGAGACGTCATTCGATAAAATCGGTTAAGAAATGGAGAAATGGAGAAATGGCGGAGGAGTTCAACCGACAAACTTCATGTTCGCGTATAGATTTTTGCTTTAAAAGATAATAAGATATCATTGGCAAATTGAAAATTACATTTTTATTTCAATTAAATTAATGTATTTACATATTTAAGTTGTATTTGTAACAAAGTAATTAGGATTATAGTAAACAATGGTTATCAAGACCAAAACAGAAAAGGAAAGGCAGAAAACCATTTACAATCATGAACTAATTATTGTTAATCTCCCAATCACTTACATCATCCACAATTTCATCAGGTTCAGTAGGTACGAACTTTGTCCACGGATTACGACAAGTTTATTTGCCGCAGCAATTACAAAATCGTGTACATGTTAATACATAGCTGCACCTTCCATCACAGCAAAGATCTTATTTTGCACAACCACAGCGTACGATTTGAAGTATCTTTGGTGGGGCCGGATTAACTCCGATTGGTATGGTTACAGGAATCGGGCTATTATTGGCAAAGTCTTCTATCCAGCCAAATGCTTTTGACAGTTGTTGTGGTGGATTTTCTTCATGTTTGGCCTCAGTAGGCGGTAAGGTGCAGAGTTTTATGGTATTGTTTTTCTTTTCAGTTCCCATTTTTTTAGCCAATTTCTGTACCTTATATCGGAAGCCCCACAGCATGATGCTGTACATTTTGTACATTCATCTATTATATCATGCATGTCAGCTCCCATTAGCCCTAATTTTGATAACTTCAATCCTCTTTGAAGAACTCTCACAACGTTTGGTTTCCCTATACTATAGAGAGTGTTTCTGAACTGTCATTCCAATATCAATAACTTGACGCTGTGAGCCATTTCCTTCCATTAAGACGGTACAAGTAGGTGCACAATGTTTGTAATAGTGAACAAGCAAAGTAGAGACATCGTTGTCATCACTTCTAATCGTTAAACATGTATAACCTTCGCCAACACAAGATGCCATTTGAGGTGGAATATCACTGTGCGGTGTAATTGTATTAAGAGGAAAAAGTTTTACAGAATTTGATGTAAAATAAGCATCAAATTCGAAACGCGCACAAAACCAGGATCAGCTGATTAGACATAGGCGACGTACCCACAATCCCCTACAAATTGGAGAGGGCAGTTCCAAGCCAGGCGGCATCATTCTCGATCAGTGTGTATCCAGTCTTTCTTTCCGTAGGGTGAGTTTTTAATCGAGTCGTGTAAATCATTCCTATTTCGCGGTGTTAATTGGCCAAAAAAACCGTTAAGCATATATCCCGCAGGGGTATAATTGCAACGCGTTTGAAATTAAATCAAGTTTGGAAAAATCGTTTCATCTGTTACCAACTAACACAGACCGCATTCGAAATTTCACGCCGTCGTTGTGCCAAAATTCAATTTGTTCGCGTTTTACAAAAGCTCACCCTCATCTGTGTTCATTTGTAATTGAATCCCTAAAGTGTTAGTGTTGGACATCCAGGTAAGTAAATTTATATATTTTATTGTGTTATCGTAATAATTATTTATATAGTGGATCACACAAACCGTTGAACTTTTCATGTCATGCTTTGTCATTTCCTGTTTTTAAGCACATGTTGTCAGATTTACATATTCATAAGTACATTTTGTATCCACTTCTAATAGTTTGATATTAAATCTATATAAATAAAAATTAAAGTTTTGTATGTAGCCTACATTGCTCAGAATTATATATTTTTAGGTTATTATTACATTTTATACATTAAAGAAGCAGAAACTAGTCTTATCTCTATTTCTGTCTGTCTGTCTATCTTTCTGTCTGTCTGTAACACTCAAGATGGCATTTTACGCTATCTTCTCCAGGAAATCGAGAGTACCTATCAAGATCCAAGTAGTGTTAAACGTGAATCCGTTCTAGATACGTCATTAAATCCACTCTTGTGTTCCAAAACCGGAGACTTTGGTTGGGGCACCTAATTTAAACACGCCTAAAACAGAACATATCGTACAAATAATTTAACAGTGCTATAGTTAGTACGTGTCGTACTGGTTGGCGTCAAGAGAGGGATTTAGCTTGCTAGGTCTGAAAAGCTCACTTTACAGTGTGTGGTTGACATCTACGTTCTCATAGAGGGCACCCGCCTTCAGTACATAAGAGATAAACAAAGCAGTATGAGAACGGATCTATATTTAAATATTGTACCGTAGATTACTTTTATAATTTTTTACAACATAATATTTTTCACATTTCTATAATCAGTCATAGAAATTACTTTAGAAAGACTCTATGAATGAGGTTTTGCTGTTTATGTTTTTTGTTCTTCATTATTTTACAAGTTGCAGTTTTGCTCGATTTTGATCAACAGG